GCTGAACATTTGGGCCGATGTAATTTCTCAACTTCTCCAACACCCAATAGTAACTTGCAGCCGTTTCATCCTTGATGACTTCATACCAATTAGAAAGTTCTGGTTCGTTGGAGCATCCCAAGCATCTCAACTAGTGGGAACTTGTACTTGTTTGTCTTGTATGTTGAATCGATCAAAATCACAGATGGCCAAGAGGTGATAATATCTACACAATCAGGATGCATAAGGAATAAATGAGTCACCTCCAATATGTCTTCATCAGAATTAAACCAGAACAGGTAACCACGTGTTTGTGCCTGGTGTAGAAGCTGTTATATAGGGTTCCTTCCCTCTGACCGTTCAAACCTCAATTTCTATCTGACGCTGTAGATGTGTCTTCGGTTTGGCTAGTCTTCAGGATATTTCTCTAACACAGATGCTAATATTTTAGCAGGCTTCACTTGAGCATCACTCATTTCTTTTACAACTAGTTTCGCAGCAGGCCGACTTAGGCCACTTAACTGTCGATGACCCACTTCATCTACTATCATCTCATGGTTGTGATACCCCCATTTACCGTAACCCTTCACTTCCCAACCGTCACGACTTTGTTGTTGTCGAACCTTTACTCTGAACTGACACCCACAACTTTCCGCTTTATATCAAACCGAATCGCTTTACTAAAATCTCGTTCCTCCCTTTTAGGATAACGGTCGCATCTCAAAATGCGATCCATTCTACCATCCCGTTGAGATTTATGACTTGCCACTATAAAACAAAAACCTGATCTAATTGCAACTTGTTTTGCCCAATCAATCGCTTGTTGAGCATCTTCGAACGGACCATCATGTACAAAAATCCCACTATAATCATTTCCGTCTCCACCATAATCCTGCAACAATGACATATAAATATATTTACATAAGGATTAAATTAATACATTTGACACAAAAGTAATTTCTTAATTTTAAATTTCTATATTTAACGCATAATACATTTAATTTCTAAATTTACACATAATTAACACAAAATTAACACGTAATTATATATAAAAGTATTCACACACATACAAAATTATAAATTTGTTTATTTTTTGAAATTATTAACACATATTAAAACATAATTTCAAATTAAACCATAATTTTGTTTTTTTTTTATAAATTATTCACACATATTTAAAACATAATTTCAAATTAAATTTTGTTTTTATAAATTATTCACACATATTTAAAACATAATTTCAAATTAAATTTTGTTTTTTTTAAAAAAATATTAACACATATTTAAGTTCAAATTTATCAAAGTTAAAAAAAAAACAAAAAAAAAAAAACCAAAAACCAAAAACAAAAACAAAAATTTAAATAAAATAAAAAAAAATAAAAAAAACTGTGGCAGTGGCGCCTGGCCGGGAAGCCGCCACCGTGGCTACCATGGTGGCGGCGTCCTGGCCAGGCGCCTCAGCCACGGCGGCGGCGTCCCGGCCAGACGTCGGCCACTAATTCGTAATTTTTAAACGCTACCTCGTTTTCCGGCGACGATGACGGCTCTCCGGTGTATCTCGCCGGCTCTTCAGTGTTTCTCGGCGATCCAGTGTTGCTCCACATTTTTTGTAAGAGAAAATTTCGTTTTGGGTAAAAATTAAAAAAAGGGCAAATTAAAAGTGTCAAAGTTTTAAAAATTGTGGGCGATTTTTAACAGCTCCCTTGGTTTTTGGGACGATCGAAGGGATATTATTTTGCAAAGATAACTATGTTATGTATTGATAAAATTTCTTAAAAGTTCCAATTTGATTTGTATCATGTATATCCGGTCAAAAAAGACTTTTGTATCTAAAAAAATATTTTCATCGAAATATTTGCATCGACTGCTTCCTACTATATATCACTATAAAAGGCATAATCCAATACGAATATTTACTTAACAAACTACAAAGATATTTACATAGGAGTATATCTTAACAGTATCTTATACATATATGGAGGAATTTACTCTCTAGGTCTTCCATTCACATTTAGAGAAGAGAATATGGATGAAATACCATCAATATCATCATCAAGATCATTAAGATCATCATTATTAAGTTCATCAACAACAATCAATGATCTTGCTGATATTGATTGAGATATTTGTTAGACTTGAGGATTATGGAATAGTGATTAGACGCAAATTAGTATCAAAGCGTTGGTTATCTCTACTCTCGAACCCTAAATACGTTATGGAATACCTAAACCATAAGAATAATCTTCCCTTACACAAGAAGGAACAACTACCATGGACGTTTTTGTCAACGATAAGGATGACTAGACTGATGAATTCTCACAAAAAAAATAAAATTCCCAACTCACAAGACATTTAATTCTTCAAAATTCACCCTCAATTTTCTTCCTTGTTCGTCATCATCGTTGAGAGTTGACGAGAGGGATCATCATAACCATCAGTATTACTACATATGCAATCCATTAACAAAGCAAATGAGTGTCAAGGAAACATCGATTGTAGGCTTAGGGTTGTGGTTGTTCATCCTATACCCATGCCCGATGGCCCGGTAAATCATGATCCTTATAAATTATTCAATTCTATGGTTTTTTGTTCTGAGAAATCTCTATGGAAAAATATTCATCTTCGGGTTCCATTGTGTGATTACAGTGATGTAAATTTTACGGGTGTTGTATGTAAGGGAATGGTGTGTCTTCGGTGAAGGAAATGTGTCCTCGACTCTAATTACTAAGTATAATTGGGATCGTATTATGGAGATAATATAATAATTCGTTTATTTGGGTCGTCAATACGTCTTGCTAGATAGCGCTATAGAACTTTGGATTAGTGAGAAATAAACTTGAAGCCCACCTAAACAGATCCTACAGGGTCACATATTAGGTTTGGATCAATAAAGAAACCCGAAGCCAAAAGTGGGCCTTAGGGTGACCGGCCAAGAAGGGAAAAGGGGAGGGAAAACCCTAACCTAATTAATGATAATGTGATTATATTAATTGGGATTTTTAGAGAATAAAATACACAAGTCAGTTTTCTAAAATCTACGTAATATTTTACTCTCCATATTTTCTCTCTAAACCGGTTCTAAAACTCCAAGAAAGGTGAAAGGTTTTCCCATCCAACTAGCATTGGTGGAGCATTGATTCAAGCCGGTGGACCGAATAGAGGAGTCACTCTTGAGGCTCTTAATCTCCCTTAGAGAAGAAGATTGCTAAGAGGATTCACGCTTCAAAGGTTAATTCTAAACTATTATGTGATCCTTTATTTGTATATGCATGAGATCCTGTTTAAGTGCGTATGAACGAAATTCATGAAATTCCGCTTAGAGTATCTAAAACCCTACATTCGGCGCTATGCACATTACGGGATGTTTTATGTTTAGAGATCCCGGTTAGAATGGCATTAGATTGTTTTATGTTTAGAGAAACTTGTTACAATTTAAAGTTATGGTTTTGCTAATTTATGTTTTTATAGAATGAAATTTTTTCTCTTATTTAATTTTGGTTTAGTATTAAATAAAATGTCCAATATATTTTATTAAGTTTAATGGGTTTGTCAAATACGTGATTTGATGAATGAAACCCCATAAGTGAACTGAATTTTAAGTTCCTAATCTGAGTCGTTAAATTGGACATAAACGACTTAATAAAAGGATTTGCATATAAGATTGATTGATAGTGTCGTTTCATGGGCTATGGGAACATGGGGATGTTTAGTCAATCATATGGGTATGTATAGTTGATACATGATCGAACAGACCTACTTAGAAGTTCTAAAAACTTCGCAATTATATTAGTGGATTCTTAAGACATGAGTGGAACACTACTTAGCTCAATGATTAGTGAAACTTTAATGTTGTCAAACGTCATGCCGTAAAAGGAGACTATAAAGGCAGCACTCAAGTTGTGCTAAAAGTTAAGTGGGAGTTTTGGTTGCCACAAGATTGAATAGGTCTTCCTATATTAGATAGGATGGGTGTCTTGGCCTCTTGAAGAGTAAGAATTGAAAATACATGGCCATGCTCAAATGGATCATAAGATGATTGTTTGTTTGGCAATTCAAACTCGGATTTCAAGAAATAATTTGAAGGCTAGTATGGATAACATAGAGATGTAATCATACTATCAAATTAGACACTAAGAGACTTAAGGAATTTGAATATTGCACACTTGTCTCGAACAAGTGGGAGATTAAAGGAAATGTGTCCTCGACACTAGTGCAATTACTAAGTATAATTTGGATCGTATTATGGAGATAATAATTCGTTTATTTGGGTCGTCTATACGTCTTGCTAGAGAGGGTTATAGAACTTTGGGTTAGTGAGAAATAAACTCAAAGCCCACCTAAACGTTACCCCTCCAGATCCCGCTAGCAATACACATGGTAGCGTCTTCATGAATGGTATGGAGGCAGATTTCAATAAACTTAATACTCGTAATGAAAATAATAATGAGGTATGTTTACGAGTAAGGCGATTTTACCATAAGTGCATTGACGAGGACGGATCACTTCTGCCAAATACTACTGCTACTGCTAGATTGATTGGTATAGATTGATTGGTATTCACCCAAGTAATAAGCAATTGCTATATCTAGAAACCTGTAACAATAAGGTGGTTTCAAAAAAGAATAAGGTGGTTTTGTTTGATAGAAAATCGTCACACTTGAAGACTTTGGGGAAATTGCATCCCGATCATCTTCATTCTTCCTGCAGACTTGAGCTCCAATACTGGCCTACACCACTTCCACGTATTTTCAACTAATTTGATAGTTTTTGCGATCGAATTTTTTAATTGGTGGCTATTACTTTGATCATTCTTGCCAGCTTAATGAAATTAAATAATTACTTGTTTAATTTCTTTCTTATGTTTGATTAAAATCATTTTATTTATTTATTTTGCTTCTATAATTATACTTTTGTTTGTCTTCTTCGGTATGCGTATAACCAAGGTAGAGAGAAAAATAAACATTCTAATGTATATACTCGTACAAGCTTGTGCTTGTGTAACAAAACTCTTACTAGGAATGTCTAAATCATATTTAAGCAATTTGTTAAGACTGCCAACTCGTGGCTTTCTGTATAACTAGCCTTTCGGATTGAAGGCTGCTCGATTCTTCTACGAGGAATACTTTGGAGAGGAAATCCTGAAACCGAGCTGCATAAAAATTAGGATTCACAGATGAGATTGTCTTGGAATCATACTGCAACGACTTGTAAGCATGCTCGAGTCGTTTCATCACGTTGTAATCTTGTAAGAAATCAATTATTCCTAGAAACAAGTAGACATTCTTGGAGTCTTGTAATTTTGAGGAACTGTGGTTACTTTCCTTGGGTTCACATTGAGGCACTTTAACTGCTCGTGCTTGAATTTTTGCTCCAAATCTTGTAACGTTACGCCTGTAATACGTTATCACAACATGAATTAGCTAGACACGTGAAAGTCTTCTAGTTAGTTTGAAAAAAGCCTACACGATTGACCAATTTAGTTAAACGAGTTGGGTTAGTATTCAAGGTTTCAAACACACATATGAGACTCTACGCCATTTCATTTTAGCAAACTCTTAATCTATTATCCAAAATTTTCAGATCATTAAAAACTACATTTTAGGGTAGCTAGACTTGATTTTCTTGGTATATTTTCTTTTGGATAAGTATCAAGCATTTTGACTCGTTTAATTAAATAGGCATAGTCGATGTCCAATCTTATAATTGGAATGCTACTAATTGCATTTAGTATAATAATTGATCCTAAATAGCAGTCCAAAATATGCTCCATGCTAGGAGTAAAACCAACCTATTATCTTCTGTTGCAGCAGCTGCTGTGAAGAAGTGTGAAAAAGTAGGGTCTCGACTGTGATATGGTTCCACAATCTCAGATTGAGTACGGTCCATTCCGTTTTGTACTTGTGATGGATCATGACACGGGCGCCCTTTTGCTGAATCTACTTGCATGAAATAATAAAAAATTAAGCACAAGAAAGATGCGTAGTAACATCCTAAGAAATTGGACGTGTATCACTAGAACAAAGGTTTGAGAACATAACCTATATACTACTTTCTCTGTTCCAAATAATCTTCCCGTTAGCTTTTGGAATATATTAAGGTTATTGATTATTCCAAAATATTTTACAAGTAATTAAAAAATTACAAGTGTATGACTAGATAAGCATGTACGTACCTCGACGTGTTTGTTCCACATGTATACCAAGCAACAAACTGTAATCCATGATTCCTTGCTCCTCCAAATATTTACAGTCTAGCTTAATTTGCCTATAAACACAAAGCCAAAGTCATTTAGTGTTGATCTTCGATCTGTTTCTACAGCTGCTCTATGTTTTTTTTTTTCCTCTTCTAAGCGAATACTTATGATTAGGAAGCTCACTCTAGGATCTGACTCTGAGTGGAAGAATCGAGGTAGAAGCAGAAATCGAATTCAGGGTCTTTTAAGGCTAGTATGGGTTGAGTTCCATTTTTAGTGGCACTTCTTCCTTGTGATGATCCTTTGAGATCATATCGTTTGTGTATTTGCATTTCTGTTCGTAACAGGTTCTCCATTACAACAAAATATATCTGCATTGAGATCGACGGAGTTTAATTATCACGACTACATGTATCCTACACTTTTATCTAAGGTCTCACATAATATGCAGAGCAAGCTAAGGCCTAAATTTCAACTCTTCATCGATACAAAATAATATTTACCTTTGTACCTCCGCTACCAGGTCTTGTAGCATGAAGGCCATAGTACTTGGCTAAGAGGGAGTTTCCGTACTTCTGAATGTGATCGTAGAAACTTGGAAGCATCTCTAAGAGAACCTACAAGATAACAGATAAATATACTTATATACATTTTCAAAGGGCTCAAACATTGTACATGGTTCTGTTATACTTCAATAATGAAAAATAATTGTTGAAACATTTACCTTAGCTTCAGATTTGCGCAAGGTTTTTATGACAAATCGGTCATCATGAGACACATGGAACGGCTTACCAGAGCCACGCACTGTCAATTCCAAGAGATTTTCATGGTTGCACACTGATATCATGTAATCATCGTAATTAACATCTCCAAGCTCTTGTATATTTCTGTAAAAGAGTTTTTATATAAAAAAAAAAAAAAAAAAAAAAAAAAAATCGCGCTTATAATGTGGCAGAAAATATCACACAGAGGATGCAGTAATAATATTGTAAGAAAAAAGTTTAAAAACAAGAACCTGAAAAGGACAGGGCTGTAATCTTTCCAAACAAATTCAGAGATTGTACCAGGCGGATGACTCGAGTTTATAGGGTAGTGTATGTTCGTAGTTCTTGAAGATTTGAAGCTCGAAGATGAAAACGAAAGCTGCTTCCTAAGCAAGGCCATACACCTGCAATTGAATCCACCTCTTATTAAGCAATGTGTTATGTGTAGACTAAGAAAGATGATTTTTAAACAAAACTGGAATGAACATTAACTTCTTACAAGTACTACTAACATTATGTGCCAATAAACTAACGCTTAGCTTCCTTTCTAATTCCCAATGTATAGATATCAAAGGTCAATAATACTTCTTAGACATGATCAAGGTAGTACGAGCTATTGGGTCACGAAATCTGAGGATCAGAAATCAGAATCGAAATGAATAACTTGAAGTTTGAACAAGTTCCCCCATATAATATATTCGTTAATCTTATGTTTAAGAGCAAATATTCATGCAATAACACAATAGCCCAAGGCATCGCTTAGGCCTAAAAACTAGTACGAGTAATAACAAGTATATACCAAGATGCATTGGAAACTACTGATATAGATCTGCAAACTATAAAGTATCAAGGTGTCTTTATCGCAAGTCTGAAACGGAGTCTCAAGAAGAGTCTCATGCAAGACTTTGGCAATAAGGTCATAATAGATTATCATGAGTCTTGCATGCGGTTTGGCAGATGAAAACCCATCTTAAGACAATGCATGTGGGGGTAATAAGCTGACAAACTTTGCATGGCCAATAATATATTGCCAACTCAACACAAGTTGTTGAATAATTAATGTTAGTATTTAGGAGGGTAAGCGAGTCTAGAGTGAGTCTTGGGATAATGTGTGAAAATGGAAAGAGTCTTGTATAAGTCTGAATAATAAAAAAGTAATTAAAAGTTAGTGGAAAGCTGATGTGGTGGAGTCTGAGACTGGGTCTGGAGATAAACTCACCCTAACCCAAATATTATTCAAGACTCGAGTGGCCTTACTTGACTAGGTATGGACTACTACATCCCCTGGACAAAGGTAGATTATTGGGCCTAATATTCCGATTGTAGATGATATATAAGATTTATACATGGCCCCAAAACCCAAGTGTCTACCAACTACGGAGTATGAATTATCTATGTACAATATGGCTAACAAGTGAAGGTGACATTGGCTATCTTTATACGACTTGTCTAGTTGTCTATACACAATAAATTAAAAACTTGACTTGAGCATCGGAGAGGTTCCATCAAGAGTAACTTGTAACTTTAAAGGTCAAATTATGTTTCACTTTTTATTTTTTCGTCAAGTTAATATCCAATAATCGATCATTATAACCCAAAATGTAAAGCAAAGATGAGGAATACAATAATATAACACCCCGAGATTTACATGATTGTCAATTCAAACGTAACCCTAACTTTAAAATAACAAATTCAAATAGGACAAATTCAAACAAATTTGTTACTTGAGAATGTCAGCAAAAAAATTTTATCCAAAAGTAGCTACAAAAATGATTACTTATAGACATAATTGTCAATTCATTCAGATCCTAGATCTTAAACATAACCAAATACATAATTAATTAACAAAAATTAGCTTACCTAATTTGCCCAAACAACCAATGAAGAGACAGATAGAGCGAAATCTAGCGATTCATCCACAATTTTTTTGTTCTCCCCAATTCTGAAATTCAGGAAATTAATCAATATAGAATAAAAATTCAGAATTATTATTTGGAGAAGATTAATGATTTATTTGATGGGGGTTTCTCATGAAATCAAAAGGATTTTCAATTGAATTTTTTTTTTATTAGTTTTTTTTTTTCTAAGAATGATGGCGTTAACATTGTGGAATAATCAAACGCGCCAGTTTCTGTTATGGTAGTTAATAATCTTTCTTTTTCCAACCAAGCTGACGCGTTTGATACTGAACATAATACCTAATGTTGTGTTTTGCAATTTTTTAGGGATAAATCAGGAATTTCATTGAACTGCCCGTTTGTACGATGGGGAGACACATATTCGAGGGAGTTTTCTCAAATAAGTCGATCAACACTAAAGGTTTCTAATAAGTCACGTATTTTTTTATGACCGTTCCATTAAATTGTACTTGTACTAATGCAAGGGATACATATTTAAATTATTTTTTTTAGCGATGATAACTGGGATGTATGGATTAATGGTTTTTGAGTTACCATCCGTTTGGTGGTAATTATTGTAATTTCTATTTATTTGCTTAATTTTTTCTACATCTATGCCCTTTAATTTCCTATATAAAGTAATTTATAAACCATTTCAAGTAAAAAAGAACAGAGGAAGTACATTTTATGATTTATTCCTTTTTTTTATTGTTTTTAGTGTTCCACCCGTTTCACCCTTTGGGCTAATCCGGATTCGAGGATCAGTTCTGGGTGGTTAGGTTTCTGTCCCCTCCCAATTGTTGTTGTGGAGGATCGAACACGTAGTCCTCCCTACCAAGTGTAGCCCCAATCACCACTACACCAACAACCAATTGGTATGGTTTATTCCTAATGATTGTGCGTATGTGTGCTTCATCCGTTTAAGCTTATACTCTATTTGTTTTGTTACTAAATGTTCGACTCACTTTGCTTTTACATAGTTTTTCTTGTACATCTTGATCATTAATATCTTCAATCATTTACAAGTGAAAATTATTTTTATTTTTTTAAAAAATAAGTTGAAAACTTAAAAATATACATTTAGATGAAACTAACAAGATCTCAAAAGTTCATCATTATTTTTCTTTTATAATTCATTATATAAGATCAATGTCATTTTATTTTAACCAACTTTTAACAAATGAATATGGTGACTGGTGAGTACCTTTTTTGATTGATATTTAAATTTCCCATTTGGTTTCCTCTTTCCCTTTATGACTTGATTTGAGGTTGCTTTCCCTTTTTTCTTAAAAAAAATTGCAAGGTACTTATTTATAATTTCCTAACTTGGAAGTTTAAGTAAAGGAATTAGAGAATTCTAGGCTTTGTAGCAAATTTTGATTGTGATTTGAGGGATTCGGGTACCAACATTTGATTTGTAGGACTAACATCAAACATTTGTATAAATTGCTAATTATGATAGTTGACTAAACTAAATAATTCTACCAAATCAACAAGGAGAATCTACTCTAAACCGGCTAACATGACCACTTAAACACATGATTTTGTGGCCTAAAAGAAACTCCAATGTCTTTGTGTAATACTAGTACTTGAACATTAATATAATTATTGCAACATTTGCAAGGTCTAGATTTGGATGCTAATTTTAGAACTTCTGCTATAGTCAATTAGTCAGGCCCCTAAAATTTTGGAGTTTACTTTATATTTTCAATTTGGGGTAAGAGGTGAAAATTGGGTAACTTGAATTTAACTTCAAATAATTTTCAATCTCTTTCTTTTTCAAATTTCTCAGTATTGGCCTCATCTAGGAACGAACTATAAAAAAAGAGGGAAAGGGTGCTTTTTAGGTTTGGACTTCTAAAATAAAAAATGATTTTACATGATCCACCTAAATTTAGGCCTTGTTTTGCATCTCTTGAGTATTGACTGGTTTGGCTAGTTGTTTGTTTCAATTATTCATGTTAGTTATACTTATATGTATTTAGTAAAGTTAGGTTAACTGCTAGTTGTTTGACTTGTTTCACATATAATGTACACAAAATCTAATCTTTTTGGCCTTTAGCCAAGTAAAAAAGCTAATTACAGAACACATACATTGACTATCGGACCATACTAAAAAGCAGCAAGTTAAAATTCAATGGAAAAGCCAACAAAAAATCCATTTATCGAACACAATTTAAATGTAGAAAAATTGTCAAGTTAATACGAGTACTCAATAATTTAAATTTCCATTTAAAAATCTCTAAATCCGCGAAGACCGCAGGTGCATATATAGCAATCCGAGCATGACATAACCAAAGGATGATAACCATTGATAGTTGCCTAAAAAACCTAGGTACTATTTATAAAAGACAGACATTCACATGATTAAAAGGACCACAGGGCCTTAATAATAAAAGGCAAAATGTATAGCAGCCTTAGATGATTGTAGGGGAGGCAATATTAGCCCTAAATAGCAACTTAACATTGCCAGAAAACACCTCAGCTTGCATATTTGGGACACTACCCTACAATTTAAAGGCCACAACATTAGAACTAGTACTTTTATTGTTTTTATTTATATTTTTAGGATTTTTTAAAAATTATTTTAACAAATAATTAAAAGAAGGGCACATGCCTTAAGGTATAGACATCTCCCAGCTGACATGAATATGTTAATAGAAAGTGGAAAAGAGCAATGGCATGCATTCCCAATCTCCCCACTACTATAGGGTGTTTGTGGTCCTAGTCCTAATTACACTAATCAAACATTACCCAAAAAACAATTAATAAAGAAGAAAAAGGTTGTACACTTGTACCATCAACTTTCTACATTCCAACAAAGTGAGGATTCAATTGAAGAAGTATATACTATAGTCATCAATATATTTATTGTTTTGAATTTATGATGATATTAGGTTTGTTTTATTACTTCGTAGGTTAAGATCATTGGAAGGCTAAAGTTATTGTTGATGTAGATTGACATTTGCCGTTCTACAACTTTGATGTAATAGTGTTGTAATTCATACGGTATATTATCTCAATCCGACTTTAATAGTCGCATTGATAGTAAAACTAGAGTCGGCAATATTCAAATAGGGCTTTGTTTGGTAAAGAGAATTTGAAACAAAATGAGCTGAGGCCAATTGATAACTTATTACATCCATACCCCCTCATTACCTTATTCTAGTGCTTCTTGTACTCCATATTTGTCATTTCACATGTTCAAATAACAAATAGCTACCAATCATTAACTACTTTTACTAGACATTTTTTATTTTTACAAACAGCTGATAAAACCAGCTAATTATCAAACGGGACCTAAACCCAAATGGATGAAGTAATAGTAATATTTGGAAAAAAATAATTCAGCCAACAACTATGTTGTATGCATAGTTGTATATGAACTTTATTCAAAGACATAATAATTGATGCTAAGAATTGGAAGTAAAAACTAGATAGGCATGGAGGACCATTCCATTATATTGACTTTATAGTCCCTTTCCTCTACCTAGGAAAGATAAAACCCCCAAAAAATAAAGAAACCTCAATCCCCAAAAACCCATCTCAAGGCAGTTGCACCACCTTTCAAATTCTTGGATTTGGGCCTTCCAAAGATTGCTGAAACTAGCTAAGCATTAGCTACAAATATCACCACCTTTTTCCCTCAAGACAAACATATTTTCTACCATTACCAGCAAAATCAACTCAAATATTTGCTCACAACCAACCAAAACATAAAAGGACAACCTATATAATCCATAAATTTTTGTATACAACAAACATAGTATTTCATACTATATTACTCAAAAATAATAATGTCTTCTTCATTAATGAAAGAAAAAAAAAACTAGGACAATTTTGTCTGCTGCACTGTATAAAAACAACCAATTTGTTGTTATACTTACGGCACAAACACAAAGAGACAATAAAAGAAAAAAGTGAAAATCTTTACTCTTTTTTTTTTTTTTTTTTGAATTTTCAATCCCTAGGTGATCAGAACTTGTACTTGAGCTCAGCTGTTGATTGCAAAAGATTTAAAAGTAAATAAATGGGTGTTTTTTTTTTTTTTTTCGGATGCAGCCATTTTTCCAGCTGGTATGTTTTGTTATGCACTGTTCTGAAAGATAGATGTTATCATAACCAAATGACAAATGAAAAACAGGTTTTTTTTTGGTGGGGTTGAGAGACTACAGTGGTAGTAAAAGCAAATACTAGTAACTAAAGTTCCCCAACATTAAGGAGAAACTTCAAGCCTAGGTTCAAAGCAAAAGCCATTGAAAAGCTGAAGAGGGAACCTCTTTGTAACAGGACATTTCTGTGACCATTTCCATTGCCTTAGGTTCATGTCAAACAAAAGCAAGGCTGGTGCACCAAAGCTCTGGATGTATATCAGATCATCAGTTCCGCTACTAGCGAATACATCATCAAACTCTCCAAAACCTTGAAAGTACTTGTGTGGCATCCGAGCAACATCTTGCCATTCGTTTCCGTTTAAGACCCAAATCCCTATCCCTTTGATTATGTCAGAGCGATCCTGTTTCCCGATCCCTCCAACCATCACCAACTTCTCCTTGAGGTTCATCAATCGGCCACACGTTAAAGGGCAAGGGGCTGGGATAAAATTCCTCATCAACAAGCCACGGGGTGAGCGGCTTGAGAGATTGTACTTGATCAAGCCATGGCGTTTATCAGGCATTCCACCCCCAGTAGAGTAGAGCAAGAAGTAGAGAACACCGTCACAAATCACACACTCATCACCAGCTCTCCACCCGTTTAAAACCTCCGTGAGTGGAGACACCCACATCATTGTTTCTGAGCTATAGATATGAATGGAGAGATCCCATTGGTAGAAGTTGTCTGGTACTTGTTTCGATTTCACAATCGAGACATTGTAGTTGTGAGATGTCCTATCAACAGATATTGTGAGGGCAGTATAATCAGAGAATTTAATGCCTGGAGGCTCCATGAGCCTCTTGCTGCATTTGGTAATGGGGTTGTAAACATGGAGCTCACTTCTGCTATCATTGTTCATGAAGCAAACAAGGCCGAAGGAGGAAGCAACGAACCAATTAGAGGTAACAAAGTAAGGCAGGTCAATGCCATACCACTTTTTAAGGCCAGGATCATAAGAATACCCAAAAGATTCATCAGTGCTGATAAACATGAAATACCAGGGCTTATGTGATAGAACATGGACAGAAAAATTCCACAAAAAACGTTTCGAAGTCACTATATCATTCCATCTCTTGCAAACACAACCAGCTCTAAAAATGCTGGCAATAGGTAGATAGGCCAGAATCCTCTCCAACAAGTCATCCGGAAGAATTGAGTCTACAGACACTATGTCTTTGTTTACCTCATCATCAACATCGGAGAAGGAATCGAATTTGACAGGGTTTAACACAGAACCATAGTGATAATGGCTAACCCATGTATCCCTTCCATCCATAGTTGGATAAAAGTGCCCTGCACAGAAAACAGTCTCACATTGATTTCATTTTACCTATAAACAGAAAACATTCCAGCAACCACAAACACATAGCACCAACAATATTAAATTTTGAACAAAATTCACCTAAATACATATTAATTAAACCACAAAAATACTAAAAACTGCAAATTACATGAATTTCAAAAGCTCTGCAAAGCTGCAACAGCTCTCAAGACAACTCCACCATACTCTTGAAATCCTTAAACAAGTGTAAAAATAACGAAATCAAAATCAATGATCCCGGTCGAGTTTTCGGTTTTTTTAGCTACCATAATGCTCAATAAGCAACCAACAGCAGCAACAACAATGACAACTAAATTGAAATCACTAAAGTGCCCAAGAAACCTCTTTGCAGCATACAAATATATAGTATTTACAATAACAATTAACAAATGCATATAATTATGTAGTGACATTAATCATCAGGCAAAACTTAGAATTTAAATTTTCCAGAATATGAAGATTGTACAAACAAAACCAACAAAAATAATAAAAGCTACTAAAAGCTAATCTCAGCATAAATAAACCCAAATACCCAAAATATATCAGGTGGACATATTCAAATCTTCAATTATCCCACATTAAACTGAAAACCACAATTAATTCCTTGAAAAAGCTACAAACTTTTAAACATTGCCCAAAATTGAACCTCCGCAAAATGATAGTTGAATAATAACAATAACAATAAAATGTTAGGTATAACTAACAAATAATTGGAGTATTAAGCTAACAACAACAATTTATTCAAATAACAAATCACCAGAAATCTCAATGAAACAACTGTTCAACATGTTTAATCAAGCCAAAAGATACGATTCAACAACATTATTATAAACAAAAATAAAATAAAATAAAAAAATCAATACCACCCAAAAATTGGAAAATAATGAAGAACAGTAACAAACAAATCCCATAATAATAAAATGAACGGAATTTAAATTACAAGAAAAAGACAATACCTTGATGGGAAAATAGAGCTATTTTTTTAATTTTTTGAATTTAATAATTTGTTTTCCTGAAGCTCAAGAACACAGACAACAATTCTTATGTAATGGGTACACCAAGATTAACCAGAAATTTCCAGATTTAACAGAGGAAACAAGCAAATGGGGGTTACACAGTAATTAGGAAGAAAATGTAGGAAATTTAAAAGAAATTGAAATGGTTAAATGTGAAAAATTACCAGGGAAAATAAAAATAAAATAAAACAAAGACGAAAACTTGTCTCTGTTAAAAGAAGGATGAAGAAGAGAAAGAAAATTCTGGGTTATTGGCGTTTTTTGATTTGATTTGAGAAATTTGGTTAAATTTTATAGGTTGAAAGAATTGAGATGAACAAAAAAACGAGAGGCGTAATATAGAATGCAACGGGAAAGGCGGTTTTGGTGCTCACACACCAAAAACAACGCCCAACCAAATGAAAATCGGCTACTTCATCAAATACCAGTAAGCACTTTAATAATTCACCGAATATTATCTAGGTTTTTAAATTCACAAAATGCCACTGAGTTGTAAAAAAATTCACCGAGTGTTATTAATGATTGACGGTCATTAACTCCGTTAGTCATTAGGGTTTAATCATGACACATGTGGACACGTGTCAGTCAGCTATTTGTTTAAAAAAAATTAAAAAAAAAACTCTGAATGCTAACCCAACCCAGCCCCACCACCGTAACCACCTGCCAAAGACAATCGACAACCCAAAGCCAACCGTCGGAACTCCTTGACCTCCTGCCGGAAACCCCTATCCTCTCGTCAAAACCCGCCGGAACCCCCTGACCTCCTTCTAGAACCCCTTGACCCCACCAAAACCGCCGACTCCACTTAATCCCCCTTTCCTCCTCCCGAAAAACCACCCCTGCCACCGCAACCGTCTTACGCAATGCCCAGATTTCCGCTTGCTTGACTCCAGCACTTACATGACGACCCACAGAATTCTGCCTGACCGACGACCCCCGCCCTGATCCCTAGCCCAGCCCCCGCAACCACCTGATGCACCAACACGACGCATCATCGTAGCCACCGAAACCGACCATGGAAACCCAGAATAAAACCCGACCATGGAAACCCTTCACCCTCAAACGGCTGAAATCAACCATGGAAATCCAGAATGGTTGATTTCTATGGCCGATTTCGTCGTTTCAAGGGTGGAGGATAGGAGGGGTGGTTTTGCGCGGTGGTCATAAAATGTTGGGTGTTTTTTTCGTGAGGGGAAAAAGCGAAAGGCACTAAGTCGCTGGTTTTAGGGGTGGTGGTTGGGCTGGTTTCGACGGTGAAGGTGAGGTAGGGAGTACCGACGGCTGGGGTTGGGCTTCCGGCAGTGGCAGTGGTGGTGGTGGTGGGGCTGGGTTAGGGTTAGAAATTTTTCAAAAAAACAAAAAAAAAAATTCTTTTTTTTTAAAGATTTTTTTTTAAATTGAACCAATCATATCATGACATGTGTCATGATTAACCCTAATGACTAATGAAGTTAACGGCCGTTAGTTATTAATAGCACTCGGTGAATTTTTTACAAACTCGGTGGCATTTGGTGAATTTTGAAAACGGTGATAACATTTGGTGAATTATTAAAGTGGTCAGTGGCATTTGGTGAAATAGCCGAATGAAAATTGAGGAGAGAGAAAATTGAAAGAAAGAAAAGGGTGGTGTTGTGTGTTGTATTTCAAGTTAGTACAAGTTTTAACTCTAGATATGTGAGCTTTTTATGGTTTTTTTTTAGGCAAAGGGTAACGAGTGTTCCCCAAACGTTAGATAAGAGAAGTAAAAAGTGGAAAATTAGAATAAAACTAATATTAATTACACTGAACGACGCGTGATTTTGTCATGCATTTATAACTTAACACTATTTCAAGCAACATATTCATTAATTGTCTAACGTCCCGAGGCGCTTGTTGGCAAGATTTTTTTTTTTATTGGGAGACAACTAGTTATATCCATGCTCTTAAATTAAATAAATTAATAAGATGGTTTTTAAAAAAATTAATAAGATAATGTAACCTTGCTAATTCGAACACCCCCTCGTATAAAAGATATATAAGATATAAGTCGCATTTCAGTCTGTTTTCCGAATCTTATTATCAATGCTCACATTTTTATTTTATTTTAGTTTAGTCTAGTTTAAGGTAGCTTTGTTAAGATGTGCTAATTTGAATTGGGATTAAATAATACTTCATAAGTTCATAATAAGCTATATTAATCCTTTTTCTTTTATATCTGGATTTAAATGATGATTTGGGATCTAATTCGTGTATAAAAATAAAACGTACAATCCTTGATTTTATTAATCTCAAATTAGTATAGTTCATTATTTGATTTGTGGTTTAACATATTGAATCTATATATTTGTATATATGCTACTAAGATAAACAAAAGGGACACTTGTTAAAATTCTAGTTCATCTATTCTTTTTTATTGGTTATGTTTTGATTATTTTTCTTTCACAACAATAATATTTCAAAGGAAATCAACAAATAGCAACAGAAGGAGTATGTTGTAAAGAAAATACAATATTACTTTTGAATTTTAATATTATAATTGGCCTAGATTTTCAGCAAAAATAAATTAATTTTATTGAGTTTTTAATTTGTTAGGAAAATTGTGTACCTTGTTTTTGCAAGAACAAACAATTTCTTATGTATTTTACTCCCTCCGTGTTTTAATAAGTATTACAGTTTGACCGGCACATAGTTTTAGATAATTTAATTGACTTAAATAAAATAAGAGGTAAGTGAGGTAGTTGGAGTATTAAAAAGTTATAAATAAAATATAGTGGGGTTAATGGTTTATTGAAAAGTAATGAATGTGAGAATAAGTATATAATAAAAATAGTAATAGTGGGTTTGAGTGGAGACTATGAGAGAAGAGAGATATAATATTTAAATTTAGCTTTTTCCCAAAATAAAAAGTGTCACACTTATTAAAATACGGCCGAATTTAATAAGTGTAACACTTATTAAAACACGGAGGGAGTAAGCAATATTCCAATCTTGACTTAGGATAAAGATAAAATTCAAACACTTAATGAAACCAAAACTATACATATATTTCCATCAACCAAAAACTTGTAACTATTGTTCGACGAATTAGGTATATTAGCCGCCCTTCCCACTCTTCTACTTTACAATAGTAAAACCTTTTTTTTTTTTTTTTTTAATTTATTTTTATTGTCAAGCAATATCAACTATCGAGCATAGATCCATTAGTCCATAGGATGACTAATATACTAATCCAAAAGGTCTACCCACGGGAAGCTCATTAAAGCATTAAACAATATAACATTCAAGAAATTAGCTGATATAAAAATCATATTCAATTCATAACTCATTCAAGTTTTTTTTTTTTTTTTTCATAAACTTAAAACACACAGTAAATTAATTTAAAAATATTAATTTATCATTCATTTGTATCTATCATAACTTATTAAGACATGCAATAATTGTGATAGTACTCATTAAAACTTATTTTTAGAAAAATCGTACTCGTATAAAATAAGTTACAAAATAACATACTTGGTAACTCATATGTAGCACACCTTTAGGGGCCGTTTGGTTGACAGAAGGGAATCGGAATGGAATGAACAAAGGGAATGAAATGGAATGGAATGGCAAAGTGGAAAATTTGGAAGGTTGTTTGTTACAAAAACCAGGGAATCATTCCCTCCACCACAGCACCACCACCACAGCGCAGCTCCGACCGCCGCCGAACCCTCACAGACCTCCGCCGACCGTCGCCGACCCATCCCCGACCGTCGACGACCGTCGCCGACCATCCAGCCCCCATCGCCGACCGTCAAACTCCCTCCCCGATGCTCCAGCCCCCCTCCCCGATGCTCGAACTCCCTCGCCGACAGTCGCGCCCCCCTCGCCGACGGTCGCTGACCCCTCGCCGACCCTCCAGCCCCCTCGCCGACGGTCGCTGACCACCACCGACCACAGCACCACCTCGAACTCCCTCCCCAATGCTCCAGCCCCCCTCCCCAACGCTCGATCTCCCTCCTCCACCACAGCACCACATCGCCGACCACTCCCCGGTGCTCGCCGAGCCTCCCCGACCACTCCCCGGTGCTCGCCGACAGTCGCCGTCCGACCACCACCGACGTATATGGGTGTTAGTGTTAGGGTTAGGGTTAGGGTTAGGGTGGGTGGGGAATGGAATGGGAAAGTGGGGGGGGGGGGTGGGGAATGGGGAAGAGGGGTTTTGGGGTATTTTGAAAAATGAAATGGGGGAATGATTGAGGGAAAAAGTGGCAAACAAACAGGTTGAAAGGGAATGATTCCCATTCCCTTTCCTGAAACCAGCGAACCAAACGCACCCTTAGTGTATTTGGTACACTAAAATTATATAGTACACCTCAAGATCGAGTTCATATGATTGGACACTTTACAAAAACAAAAAAAACAAAAAATAAATAAATCAATACCTTACTTGGAGTGTAATCAAGTCTATAAGAATATTTTAGTTGTCGCTATTATGCTATTTATCTCTATTTGTTCGACCCCTTTCTCACATTCTCGTATGTAGTCATGAATATTTAGGGGAGAGCATGGGACGGGTACCCGTTCCGATAACGTTATTGGTTCGGGTACCCGATAATCGTTAAGGCTAAAACCGATTCCCGAAACCGTTCCGATAAGGTTCGGGTACCCGTAAATTCGGATACCCGAAAATACGGGTACCCGAACCAAATATCCGAACCGAACCAATAAGCTGATTTTTTTTAGGTCTTTTTATTTATTTAAAACCTGCTTTGCAATTCGTTTTTAGATGCTTTTTAGTTTTTACTAGTTTTTTTTTTTTACTTCCTATTTTTTGAACTATAACAATTGAACTTAAATACACAAATAACAAAAATAATTACAACTATCGCTGTCTTCCGCTTTGGCAACCTACCAGTCCCTGTCCTTGAGGCTGCTGCCTCCTCACCTCTCCTACTTGGCTGCCTGAACTCCTCCTTGTACCCACCTGCTTAATAATATTTTTGTCCAAACTTCCACCTGTTTTTCTAGTATTAATTATTGTTATTAGTACTATGATTTTTTTTGTAACAAATAACAGCCTAATAGGCTGATATTGAAACCTGAATACACATATAACACATCACTCAACCCGATTACAAATGAACAAATACTTGATACGAACATACTGTTTCTTTTAAAAAAAAAAAGTCCATAGTTAACAATAATAAACCAATACATAACAAAAAAAAAAGTCCATAGTTTATAGTTTTAAAACAAAAACAGTCCATATTAATCATATTTCATAAAATACTCCAAGCCTTCAATGACTTCCGGCCTTCAATACAATCACCACCAACCTTCATGATTATAAGTTGCTGCCTCTAATCAATTAATCATCATCAACAAAGAGAGAGTGTTCCTCACCAAGAGGTAACATTTCTTCAAAAATAACAAAATTAAAAAAAAGTTAATGAATAATTAACAAGATAATGAGATTAAAAAAAAAGAGAGAAAATATTTAAATGTTACCTGATTCAATTTTTTCCATATCTTCAAGTCTCTCCTCAAGTATAAGAGGACCTTGAGATGTACGTAACCAATCTTGTGCACAAATCAAGGCTTCAACCATCTTAGTTGAGAGTGAGCTGCGAAATGAATCAAGCACTCGACCACCGGTGTTAAAAGCTGATCCGGAAGCGACTGTTGATACGGGAATGGCAAGTACATCTCTAGCCATGAGAGCTATTGTTGGATACCTTTCACCATATTTTTTCCACCACCCCAAACAATCAAAGCTTTTTCCGGCGGGATTAACTTCTCTATCATCTTCTAAATACTTGGCCAACTCATTTTTCCCTTGTACTCCAACACATGAACCCACCTGCCTTTCAAACTCTAATTCCGCAACATCTACATCAGAATCCATATCTTCTACTTCCTCCGAAAAATCAGAAGTTTTAGGGAGAATAGACTCATTTGGAGGGTTTTCAGAAATATAAAGTTCATACATGTCATTCAGAGTTTGCATCACTTTATCACACAAGTACTTAGCTTTTTCAGAATCATATTGTTGATTAATTGCCCATTTAGTATATCCCATTTTCCGCCTAGGATCAA